GCAGGGGGCCCCCCTCACAGGGCATACACACGGGGGGGCCCCCCCAGCCTCCTTGGGGGCCCCCCCCTGTGTGGTTTGGGGTGTTGGGAGGGTACAGTAGGTTGCTGCAGGGGAGAGGGTAGAGAAGGGCCCCCCGCTGCTGCAGCAGCTGCAGCACAACCCCTTCGTTCTGTCTGCTGTCGTTGCTGCAGCTGCTGTATACAAGGAGGCCCCCAGGAGTGAGAAGATCATATGCACGCAGCAGCAGCTGCTGCTGCAGCTCTCGCAGCTGCTGCAGTTGCTGCTGCTGTCGCTGCAGCAGCACCAAATGCAGCTGCGGTTCCTGTTGCTGCAGCACCTGCTGCTCTTCCTCCTCCTCCTCCTGCTCCTGCCCCTGCTGCTGCTGCTGCTGCTGCTGCAGCTGGTGGTGCTGCTGCTGCTGGTGCTGGTGCTGCTGCTGCAGCTGCTGCTGCAGCTGCTGCAGCTGCTGCAGCTGCTCCTCTATGACGCCGCAGAAACGATAGATGTGCCGCGTGCTGGCGTCGTGTGTACACTGCACGTCCAGCAGCACGCGGTCAAACTCAGTTGCTGCTGCTGCTGCTGCTGCTTCGTTGCTGCTGCTGCTGCTGCTGCTGCTGCTGCTGTTGCTGCTGCTGCTGCTGCTGTTGATGTCGTTGTTGGTGGTGCTGCTGCTGCTGCTGTTGCTGTAGTTCCTGTGGTTGGTGATGTGGTTCATGGTGCTGCTGCTGTTGCCGCTGCTGCTGTTGCTGCTGCTGCTGTTGCTGCTGCTGCTGCTGCTGCTGCTGCTGTTGCTGCTGCTGCTGCTGCTGCTGTCTGAATTGTGTATAAAAGATATCAGGGGGACTTCGTGGGCCTCCTGTCTCCTTCTTTCTTTCTTTCTCGCCAGCCTGCCTTTTTTATTTCTTACGCTTGCTGCTGCTGCTGCTGCTGCTGCTGCTGTTGCTGCTGCTGCTGTTGCTGCTGCTGCTGTTGCTGCTGCTGTTTCAGTTGCTGCTGCAGTTTCTGTTGCTGCAGTTGTTTCTGCTGTATCTGCTGCTTCATGATAAATGCTGCTGCAGCAATTCCTCTGTCCCCTGCTGCTGCCACTCCCTCCCCTGCTGCTGCTGCTGCTGCTGCTGCTGCTGCTGCTGCTGCTGCTGCTGCAGCGGCAGCACGAGCTGCCCCCGAAGCTGCGGCCATCAGCAAGCACCAGCATGCTGCTGCTGCAGCCGTTCTTCCTCAGCAGCCGCCGGCATATCTCCATTCTATGGGGGCTCACATCCACACCAACCACAAACCCTGCTGCTGCTGCTGCTGCTGCTGCTGCTGCTGCTGCTGCTGCTGTAGTTGTTGCTGCTGCTGCTGCTGTTGGTGGTGCTGGTGGTGGTGCTGCTGCTGCTGTTGGTGGTGGTGGTGGTGCTGCTGCTGCTGTTGTTGTTTTGAGTGGTTGTGCTGCTGCAGTTGCTGCTGCTGCTGCAGCTGCTTCTGCTGCAGCTTTTGCTGCTGCAGCAGCTGCGTTTTGTGGCGAGACAGCAGCAGCAAGCAGCAGCAGTTTGTTGCCTGGGGCGCAGCACAAGTCAAGACATCTGCTGCCTGGTTTAGGCCTCAGTGCAGCAGCAGCAGCAGCAGAAGCAGCATCAAAGGGGTGCAGCAGCTGCTGCCTGTACACCCGAGAAGAAGGAAAACGAACAGCAGCAGGCAAAGAAAAAACAGCAGGAAAATAACACACTGACTCCACCCAGCAGCAGCAGCAGGGGCTTGCAGGTGCAGCGGGCAGCAGAGAGGAGAGAAGCGGGAGACAAAGCTGCTGGGGCGGAGGCCCTCAATATACCTCAGTATGCATGCAGCACACAGCTCAGAGCTGCTGCTGCTGCTGCTGCTGCTGCTGCTGCTGTTGCTGCTGTCGTTGTTGTTGCTGCTGCTGTTGTTGTTGTTGCTGTTGCTGCTGTCGTTGTTGTTGCTGCTGCTGTTGTTGTTGCTGCTGCTGTTGGTGTTGTTGCTGCTGCTGCTGCTGCTGCTGCTGCTGCTGCTGCTGCTGCTGCTGCTGCAGGTGCAGGCGACAGCAGCCTGCTGCTGCAGCAGCGAGCCCAAGCCCCTTCTATTGAGAGGAGGGGGAGGGAAGAAGCAGCAGAAGTAGCGAGGCAGCTGCTGCTGCTGCTGCTGCTGCAGCTGCTGCTGCAGCAGCTGCTGCACCTCATTGCTGCCGTCTTGCTGCGATAGCAGAGACGCCAGAGCAGCTGGGATGCTGCTGCACTGCCTCTGCCCTTTGCTGCTGCTGCTGCTGCTGCTGCTGCTGCTGCTGCTTCTGCTGCTAGTGCTGTTCATATTCTCGTGGACCTCCATCTTGGATCCGCCTTCTGCTGCTGCTTCTGCTGCTGCTGCTGCTGCTGCTGCAGTTGTTGCTGCCTCAGCTGCTCAAAGAGCTGCTGCTGTTCCAGCTGCTACTGCCGCTGCTACTGCTGCTGCTGCTGCTGCTGCTGCAGCTGCTGCTGCTGCTGCTGCTGCCTCAGCTGCCTGGTTCCGTGACCACCACAACAGCAGCAGCTGCTGCTGCTGCTGCAGCTGCAGCAGCTGCTGCTGCTGCTGCTACCGTTTGAAGTGAGGTCGCTAGCTCTGCTGCTGCTGCTGCTGCTGCTGCTCCAGAGCAGCAGCAGGAGAGCAGCAGCGGGGCGGCAGCAGCAAAGCAGCAGCAGCAGCAGTTAATATCTCCTCAATGTAAAGAGATAAAATGGGGAGGGGGAAGAAGGAGGCAGTGGGGTGGACTGAATCACCTGCTGCTGCTGCTGCTGCTGCTGT